GATTTTGCGCGCGAAATCGTCACCCATATTGGGGGTGAAGTCAAGCAATTGAGAGACAACGTAGGGAAGTTTTGTGAGGGCGCCATTCAGGGTGCCAAAGTTGCAGCCGCTGTAGAAGGAGAGGCCAGACCCCGTAAGGACCCAGTGAAACTTAAGTTCCCAGACGCGTACGGGGGGAAGAAGGACGAGAACTTTGACAACTGGGAGGCCAATGTCAATAGTTACATTTATTTACAACATATCCTGATGGAGGAGCAAGTCCTCGTGGCCTTCCAGGCCCTGAAGGACGAAGCGGCTAGCTTCGCCAGGTCTCTTGCGCGTACAGTCGGTTGTGAAAACAACCTGGTTGCATATTCTAAAGTCACCCCTCTTTCCCAATTGCTCAGGCTCCTCAAGGAGCGTTTCGCTGACCCAACGAGAGGCATAAGAGCCTTTGACAAGCTTCAAACGATCCACTCACGGCAGTGGAGGAGTGCCAAGGCACTCAAGGGTACCATGGACGACTTGGTAGCCGTCCCGGACCATGGGGTCACTGAGCCCCAGTTGGTTCAGTTGTTTTATCGTGCCATTCCAGAGGCCCTACGTGGGCATTTCTTTGACAAGTCTCAGCAGGCCGGCATCACATACGATCAGTTGAGTCGCGAAGTCGTCTTGTATGAGTCGAAGTCTACGCCAGTTACCACTTTCTGGCATAAGGACTTAGAGAAGGGGAAGAAGTGGAAGAATCATACCATCTCAGGCCAAGGAAAGGGCAAGGATCACATGATCCTGACATTAGAAGAAGGTGGTACCGATGAGGTCCCATATGACCAGATTGAGTGGGGCCTTGAAGATGATGGCAGTAGTGTAGGGCAGGGGAGGTCTTACGCTGCTCTCGCAGCTGGAGGGAGGCCGCAAGGAGGAGGAGGAGGCCAGGGCCAAAGGGGCCAGGCCATGGGAGGCCGAGGATCGGGCGCACAGGGGGTTGGCGGACAGGGAAACCGCCAAGCGGGAGGTAGGGGTCAAGGTCCCCCGTCAAATCGCCAGGGTAATCGGTCCCCACAACGAAGAGGTGGAAGGGCACCTCAAGGAGGTTGGCACCGCGGCTTGCCACAGGGCAGGCCCTGGGAAGACTTGGGCTTGGACCGACAATTATGGCAGGAACGCGTGAACATGGGTCAGTGCGTATTTTGTGGTGACCCGACGCACGTAATTAAATTTTGTCCTAAGTATAGACAGGCCCGTTGGGCTGCGCAGCAGTCAAAAGGCAGCCGCCAGTAGGGGTCGCAACTGCCCCTACTTCAAGGCCATGTGGAGAAGTGAGCGCGCGCGAGTAGGACACTCCCAACCCACATGAGCCTATGGCAGAGGTTGCAGGCCCGTGCCTAGATAGTTGTCGAGAGACTGCTTGTGTTAGCATCTCTTTAGGCACGTCCCTCACAGGTGTGGCAGAAGAGTTAAAGGAGAGGATGCCAGCCTGGGCCAAAATGAAAAAGGAGAGTAAGGGACAACTGATCTTAGTAGATGTAGAGGTGTTTAGGAGTAGAGTAGGGGCCCTCATAGACTCAAGGGCTACCCGTAGTTATATTAGCCATAGGGCGCTGAAGAAGCTGAGGCTAGGACTAAAGGTCCAGAAGTTAATAGACCCTATAGTCAGTGTTCTCACAGACAACCGCACAATGCGCGTTGAGGATTATGTAGAGGGAGTCCAGGCGTACTTTCGCCTAGAGATGGATGGGAAGGTGGAGAAAGTTCTCCAGTCCCTGACTCTTCTCATACAAGATGACCTTCCTTTTGATATAGTGTTGGGAATGGATTGGGGAGAGGCAGCAGGGGCCACACTTCATTTGAGAGAGCATGAATGTAGGCTCCCTAATCCGGCGGGCGAAGTTAAGACTGCCCGCTTGTTCCATGTGTCTGGTGTAGATAACATCTTGACACATTGTTGTCTCAGTGCTCCCACATTCGCGCGATTAGTAAAGGAGCAGTTAGAAGACCAGATCTTTGTAGTATACGTCAGACCTGTTACTGAGGCCCAGGAAAAGGATAGTTCCACAGATCCAACAATTGCCAAGCTGCTGGAAGAATTCAAAGACTTGACTGAGTCGCCGACAGGAGTAGTGTCGCGCCCCATCCAGCACAGGAAAGAGATAGAGCCTGGCAGTAGAACTCCTAAGGGTGCAGTCTACAAGATGTCCCCTAGACAGTTAGAGGAGCTCCGCAAGCAGTTAGACGAACTCCTTGAGAAAGGTTGGATCAGGCCCAGTTCGTCTCCTTTTGGAGCACCCGTTTTGTTTGTCCCCAAGAAGGAAGGAGAGCTTCGTATGTGTATAGACTATAGGGGTTTGAACGCGATCACAGTGAAGAATGCTGAGCCGCTGCCCAGGATAGACGATCTTTTAGATCGAGTGCAGGGTTGTAAGTATTTCTCTAAGATAGACTTAAAGTCCGGATACCATCAGATAGAAGTCCATCCTGATGATCAGTACAAGACTGCATTCCGGACTAGATATGGACATTACGAGTTTATAGTGATGCCCTTTGGACTGACCAACGCGCCAGCTACTTTTCAGCGTTGTATGAATGACCTGTTTAGACCATGGTTAGATAAATTTGTAGTAGTCTACTTRGATGATATCCTAGTCTTTAGTGAGACCCTCCAGGAGCACCAGGGTCATCTGAGGCAGGTCTTGGAGAAGCTTAGAGAGGCTAACTTCAAGATCAATGCGAAGGAGTGCGAGTGGGCCAAGACGCAAGTCTTATACTTGGGCCACGTGTTGGACGGAGATGGCATTAAGCTAGAGGACAGCAAGATCGCGGCGATTAGAGATTGGTCGACGCCCCGCACATTGACAGAGTTGCGGTCGTTCGTAGGCTTAACTAACTACTATAGGAAGTTCGTAAGGAACTTTTCTACTTTCGTCGCTCCCTTGCGCAGGTTGCTGAAGAAAGAGGCAATCTGGCAATGGGACAAAGACTGTACGTCTGCGCTCAAGAAGCTAAAGCGCGCGTTAATAGAATATCCTGTCCTCAAAGTTGCAGATCCGTCTTTGCCATTTGTTGTCACCACGGACGCGAGTCAGTATGGGATAGGCGCCGTGTTGCAGCAAGACGACAGCAATGGCTATAGACCCGTAGAGTTCATGTCCGCGAGGATGCCCTGTGAGAAGGTCGCTACCTCCACGTACGAGAGGGAACTCTACGCTCTCAGGCAGGCTTTAGACCATTGGAAGCACTATCTGCTTGGGAGACACTTCAAAGTGTATTCGGACCACGAAACGGTTAGATGGTTAAAGACTCAGGCCAAGATGACACCTAAGTTGACTAGGTGGGCCGCAGAGATAGACCAATTCGACTTTGAGCTCAAGCCAGTGAAGGGCAAGTACAACGTAGTTGCGGATGCTCTGAGTAGGAAATCAGACTACTTTGGAGCTGTAGTACACTATCTGGATATAGGGAGAGACCTGCAGGAGAAGGTGAGGCAAGCATATGCGCAGGACCCTATCTATAGCGACCTCCTAAAAAGAGTTAAAGAGGCCCCAGAGACTGAACCAGATTACCGCACTACAGACGGGTTGTTGTTTGAGAAGACTAATGTGTTTGACCGCCTGTGCGCTCCCAACAGCGAAGAGATCCGCAGTTTGGTTTTAGGGGAATGCCACGATACTGAAGGGCATTTCGGTTGGCAAAAGACATTAGCCAACCTGATGCGTGCGTATACCTGGYMAGGGATGAAGAATGACTGCATAGAGTATGTCCGCAGTTGTAAAGTGTGCCAGAGAAATAAGTCTACTACACGCGCGCCCTTAGGTCTTCTCAGGCCCTTGCCTATTCCGGATCAGCCGAGAGACTCAGTGTCTATAGACTTCATGGACACGCAAGTCAAGAGTAGACATGGTAAGAGCCAAGTCATGGTCATAGTCGACCGTTTTAGTAAGTATGCAGTTTTTGTTCCCTTGCCTGCAGAGACACGTACAGATTTAGTAATACAGAAGTTCTTTGACTTTTGGGTCAGTGAGAATGGTATCCCATTGTCAATAGTTAGTGATAGAGATGGTCGTTTCACCAGCCAGAACTGGCAAGAACTCATGAGAGTTTACGGATCTAAGTTGTTAATGTCATCTGGCCGTCACCCAGAGACTAACGGTCAGACAGAACTGATGAACAAGATCCTACAGCAAGTTCTGCGCATGTAGATCAGATTAACTGGGATGAGATGTTGCCTAAAGTAGCTAGTGCATACAACAACAGCGTGCATCTATCCACCTGCCGCACTCCCAATGAGTTGCACAAGTCCTTTAGACCACGCAGACCGTTCGAAGGACTGAACCGGGATCAGATTCACAGACTACCGCCCGGAACCAGGGAGTTTGCTTTGCAGCATGAGAAAGAATTAGCAACTGTTGTTGAGAACCTCAGAAAGACCCAACATAGAATGATAGAACAGGCTAATAAGCACCGTCGCCCCTCAC